CATCTATTGTGCAAGTACTCATCTAAGTTAGATGCAGATATTATTTATATATTCTATCTATCGATTACTATCATCATTATTTATAAGATATATTTTCTTTATCTTTAAATAAATTAAAGACTAAAATATATCTTATAAATAATTATGTCTTCTTATATTTTACATTAAAAAAATTAATATATTAAGGCACATTGAATGTAAAGGTAAAATCCACAAGTTGAAAGAAAAATTCAAAATCGAAGCAAAACATATCAAGGCCTAAACCATCGAACCGAAACTGAAAATGTAAGATTTCGAGTTGGATTTATTCTCCACCATGTATGAGGAGTTGACAATTGAGAATAGAATACAGCACAAGACCAATACAGAAAGTATATATATAACTCAAACTTCGAAAACCCGAAAAATACATGAGATCGTCAACAAGGACAGTTGTTTTATTGTTCGATTACACGTTTTGCACCCTCCAAAGTATTCTTAAGCAGCATAGCAACAGTCATGGGACCAACACCACCCGGCACCGGTGTTATGTGTCCGGCTACCTTACATGCTTCCTTGTACTCAACATCTCCTACTAACCTGTAACCAGACTTCCTACTTGGGTCATCAACTGCATTTGTTCCAACATCGATAACTGCAGCCCCGGGTTTTATCCAACTTCCTTTTATCTGAAAAGTTAATTTTTGTACTTATGTAAATTAATGAACAGCTCTACAAGCAAAGGAGTGCATACAATACTAGTATCAAACAGCTATGGCTCATCAGACTAGTAATAGAGAGGATAGTTGTATGAACAGTTGTACTAATCTCAACATTATTGGTCATTATGTTACGTGCATGAAAGAACAAATCGGTAACTACGTGTATTTACCATCATGGCTTGCCCTGCCGCTGCAATAACAATGTCAGCTTCGCGAATGATTCTCTCAGGATCCTGAGAATGTGAGTGAACCATAGTGACAGTAGCATCTGCTTTCAGCAGTAGCAATGAAACAGGCAATCCAACAATATTACTTCGACCCACAACTACGGCCTTTTTCCCCTTTATGGTTACACCACTTCGAGATAGAAGTTCAAGACATCCCTACACGTAGAATAGTTTAAGACACCAAAAAGAGTCTCCATTTACTACAATTCTCCAACAAAGCGATACCACAAAATGTGTAAACTTCTATGTAGATCATACTTCTCATATTTTAAGAGTGTATAGTACCTTCGGGGTGCAAGGAAGGAAGAGAGGTTCTCTGCCTTTCATAGCAAGCTTGCCGATATTCAGAGGATGAAACCCATCAACATCTTTCTCAAGACTGATTTCGCCTAAAACTCTCTCTTCATTTATATGCCTCGGCAGTGGAAGTTGAACTAAAATACCTGCCAACTCAACCAAAAGAATGAAATGAAAGGGAAAAAACAACTAAAGAACAAGTATCCTGAATATAAATAACTGAACCATCAGCAGCTTATTTTTGGATGACAATTGTTTTGTTTAAACAGGCAACAATTCTTGTTTCATAGAAAATCACAAAAAGGAAAGCAAAATGATGTACTTGGTAAACCACCCAATATGTCAATTCTATGAATTGCTAACTTCTATCCAAATAGGCAATTCATCAGTTTAATATATTTATAACCTTTAAGACAATGTGAATGGCCATATGTTATCTACCCTTTTGGAGTACAAGAGAAATTTTTTCAATTCTACTCACAAATGAGTTATTTCAATATAGATGAAGCATTAAATAATAGTGTACTCATTATTCTGCATCCCCCAACTGGTGTGCACCCAAATATTATGATCACAAATTACAAGGAATTTAAAAGAACATGATAGTATTTGTCTTCAACTGTTTATCTAAATAACACTAACCATGCACATCAGGATTTGCATTTAACTCGTGAACCTTGCTAATGAGCTCAGCTTCAGATACTTGCTCTGGAAGGTCTACATCAAAAGACTTGATCCCAACCTCAGCACATGCTTTTCTCTTCATGCTCACATAGCTCTGAGAATCTTTCCTATTTCCTACTATTACTACAGCCAGCCCTGGCACCTGAACAAATTAAGTTTCAGTTCTTATTATCTTCCTCCATTATCCTCAAACAAAGTAGGGTTCATATAACCAAAGGAATAAATAAAACTGGCAAGTTTTATCAATCAAAGTTGAGTATGCATAATGTTGCATTCCTTCATATAGCTCATACTCTTCTGGCGAGCAAATACATAAAAAAACTCTCAACTTTGATTTTACAGGAATGAGGTGATCAGTGGTATCAGAAAAACAGTGATGGTATTCTCAAATAGAACACTAGACTGTAATAAGCCAACCAATAAAAAAAAAAAAAGAAAAGAATGATGGTATTCTCAAACAAATAAATAAATTTTCTAGTA